TCAGGTAGATTTAATACGATCCAAGGAAAGCATCAGTCCTTTAAAAGCAAATGGTACCACCTCAGCCGAAACTTCCGTTTAACAAGAGCAAAAATAAACAAATGCTAATGTAATGTATTAGTTTCTTTATTTGATCGTTTCAAAACTTTCATCTTTAGAGTTTTTACTCTGCAATGAATCTCTTTCTGAATTGCCATTTAACCGACATAACATATAAGATGAAAGTTATAGATCATACTATTTAATTCTCATGAATTTGTACTCTTCTACAAATGTCCTATCATTTATCTATTACGTTTAATTGAATATTTGTATTATATATGTACCGAACAATGCGCGTCGCTCTTCGCGAGTACACTGCAATTTGTACACAACTGTAAATGAGATCCATTCATAGTCTCAACATGTTTGTACATAAAATTCAATCATTCAAAGATTCATCAATAGTTAAAGTCATTTAATAAATTCAATAGTCATTCAATAAATTCAATTGTGATTTTATGAAAAATTTATTTCTCATCCTCGATAAAGCAGTATATATTATTACAAAACAGTCTATTTTAGTAATTACTTATGTAACAATCAATTCCACTTCATTAATATTACATGTGAATTGCAAAGATACGTGAAAGAAAACGAAAAATGAGAAAAAAATTGGAAAAAATTCCAAATAATTGGAAAAACGTTAATAATAGCGTATAGATGTTTTTACGTTTAGTGTAACAATGGCAAATAAAATATGATAAAATCTAAAAAGATCTCTTATACTGCTATGCATCTTCTTTAGATAATATGATCTAGAATTCTAGATTGACGACAATTATTGATCTATGAGTTAATAAAAATTATGCTAGAAAGTTGTGAAAAACGCACATTTTTCCAAATTGTGATATGATTCTAAACGAATACATACGTGGCATTTATAAAACATGCGAATTGCAAAGTAAAATTAGAATTTTCACGGAAAATCACTCTTTCTGGCGAATTATTCAAACTCCAACGCATTCAAATATTCGAATGATTAATATCGATAATTTTCACTCTTATAAATATGAATGAAATAAATAATAATATAATACTGAAATAAATAATAGTATAATAATAGTAGCATAGTGTTGCGCAGATGTCTAATACCATGAGCCGAATAATGTATGTATGTGTGTATGAAGTAATTATTCGAATATTTGAATATTAACAACTATAATTTTAAGTTTAACATATATGTCAAATTCTATTTATATTATATAAATCATAAAAATTAAGCAAGAATATTGTGTCATGCAATAATATATGATCCTGCATATAGCGATTAAGTAGTTCAATTAAGTAGTTCTTTGTAATAGTACTGTGTATATATGCCAAAAAAAACCCCACAATTTGCAATATGAATACGTATACTTCTTTCGAGGGATATCTCTTACATTATTGCAAGCTGATAGTGCACTTTAAAAAGAAAAAAATTTTTTATTGTAATATCTTTTATGAGGAAAATTATGCTTGAATATTTTTTATTCACTTTCTCTAATAATATTATAATAATACAATACCTTGAGAGCCGATAAAAACTGTGGAAACTATTTGAAAAACAAAAAACAGAAAAAGAAATATATATAAATTTGTTCTTTATCCCCAAATTACAGAATAATATTACAGAATAATATGTATAAATTTGTTCTTTATTATCCAAATTACAGAATAATATACCTTTTCTGGTTTAAAAAAATACAATTATCTTGCAACTTTTACAAGAGGCTTTTTAATGAAGAACTATGGAACAATTCTCTTCGAAACATTCATAAAATAATCTTTTCTTATAAAAATAATTGAAACTAACTTGAAAGAAATGATTTCTTATTGATACTCTACTAGGTTAGATACATTTTTCTCAAACATATTTATTAAAAGATACATAGCAGATTTCTGTTACTTCTTAAAATTTTAATCTAGCCAAGATTTTGCGCGTTGAATTTCAAAATTTTCTATTATCATAGCTTTTTCAATATTTGGGCATATACAATTGTGACAATATTAAAAAGATTTTAATTATAGTGAAATTAATTTCTTTATCGCAAGATTTTTTAAAAAAACTTTACGTGTTATAAAGATATACATGCGATGTATAGAGTGATAAAAACAGTCCCTTGAAGGATATCTATTATTGTTCGTAATTAAAGAAAAAAGATACCATCAATCTCTGTACAGTCTACGATACATAATATTTATTAGGTGATTATTTAATCATAAACTATTTCCTAAATAGCAATGAAGATATTCTGTTAAATAAAGTAAACAGTTGTTAACATTTGTTAATTAAGAGTAAATTTGTTATTTAAATTAATTAAATGAAAATTCTTATAAGTGTATGCTATTTTTAAAAGAAATATTTTTCAATGTAGTTTATAGCAAAAAATAATTTATTAAATTATAATCCATTTTTATATTAAACTTACAAAACATAACAGAGATAAACAATTTTGAAGTTTTCGATCGAATATTTGCATTAACAAGTAATTTATACGAATCCAGAATGTAAATAGAAAAAATCTTTTCTCAAACAATCTGCGATAGATATGTTGATGATTAAGGATTTTATTAGTAAAAATTTGACTTCTCAATTCGGTTAAATATCAAAATGCAATCATTTATCGCGTAAATATTCATACAAAATTTTTAGAAAACTGATTAGGCAAAATATTCGTGATATATCTTTTTATATATTTTTTTGTTAACAGATAGTTTGAGAAAATATATTTTAACGCCATGAAATAAAAAAGATTACGTTTTTACAATATATGTATTTAACTCGTAGGCAGACACAAGGAAACCTAGAATTTAAACCAGGGATAGGAAATAAGGCGTTACTTGTAATGCCGTTACTTTTATCTCTTTACTTTTCCTATAATAAAAATTTAATAATAATTTTACAATTTTTCATGATGATAATGATAACGTCAGTGTTGGACAAGTCATTTATAAAAAGTAACTTGTTACTAATAATAATTACGTGACGACTTATAGTAATGCGTTATTTTTATGCGAAGTGTGAAATAATAAGTTAATTTTTTAATCAGTAACGCGTAATGGTAACAAGTTACTCTTCAAATGTGACTTTCTTTAGCGTTATATAGTTACTGTCATGTAAAAAAAATTGTAAAGTGAATATAAAATTGTTATTATAAAAAATAACGATAATGCGAGATCTACAATAAGAGTCGTAGACGATCTTGGAATCTTAAATCGTAGAAAATTGATTAATCAGAGTCAAATACGAGTAGAATAATCGACTATGATTGGTCAATTTTCTATGACTTCAGACCCCACAATCGTCTACGATTCCTATAGTAGAACCAGCCACGTGTTACTTCCCATCCTTGGTTAAAACAACATGATACATTTACATCGTATTGGAAAATAATGTTGCGCATACTTTTAAGTATATTTTTACGTAAAGAATGCATAAACTTGCGTATATGAGTCATTTAAAATCATACAATATATTCATTAAGCGGAGATTATACAATATTAACTCTCTATGAAGTAATATTTGGAACACTGAGTATTGTATCGTAATGAGATAAATACGACAGAGAAGGGAAGGCATGCCGCAATCTCATGCAAAAAAAAACGTGCAAATAATAAAATTCATGAATATAATGTATAATATAAGAGTAATCTAATAAAAAATGTATGATATGTGTGCTAATGCGTTTCAACGGTGATCTTCAATGGGTTAGGAGAAATATAATCTCTCCCAGTGATCTTATAAGATTTCATGCGTATCGCAGCGAAATTCACGATGGTGGATAGGCTATACTCGCCGATGTAGTATTAAATGGTTGTGATTAGATAGAAAAGACTGCGTCTCGGAAATTAGTTTCCGAGTTGATAAGGAAAGTAGCTAATGCCTGTCATTATGTCTTTAATCATGCTGTGTTACTTTAAATAAATAATGTGCAATTAAAACTGAAAGATTTACTGTTTCCTATTACAAAATATATTGCAAAATGTGTGCCTATACACAGTCCCAGAATAATCGTTAAATATTTCATGTGCTGCATAGAGAGGGTCAAATTGAGTCGAAAAGTCTTCTACCATTTTGCAATTTTCGTAATAGTTAATAAGATATTAATTACTAAAAATCGTCAAATATTTTCTCTCAATAATTTTTTACTTAAGTAAAATTAATATTATTAATTGATTTATTCTATCAAGTCTTATTCAATTTAATTGTTAAATAAATTAATTAACAATATTAATTCAGATACAATATATATATTTACAATTTTTGTTTTCTAATTTTACAAATCAAAACTGATTGTATGTATTAAGAAATTATAATAAGAAATTTCAGAATTGCAATTCTGTGTTTATTAATTGCATTTAATTGGATTTTAAATTCCAATTTAAGAAGTTCCGATATTACTCATTATATTTTTTTCTTATCTTTAATTTATTATTCCGCTTTTTAAATTTTTCCCTGTATTGTTACATTGCTGTGATCGATGAACGCGAGCTTACCATTTGAAATTGCACAAATATTATCAAATATATCACCACTGTACCAGTTAGCTAAGAGAAATAAAACTATTAATTAAAAAATTTGGTTTATATTAAATTACTTAAAGGAGATTCTAAATATTCTCACCGAATGCAGAAAAGTATTATCGAGCGTAAAGTATCCGTTAGCTGTAAACTGTATTTTGCGATGTAACAATTGAAGTGAAAATTTCTTGAGCTGTAACATATCTATGATAAATGTCGTTATGATGAATACCGTTTCTGAGAAAGTTTCATTTGACTTTATTTTTTACCTCTGCTTTTGTCTCTTTCCCGACTACACAGTTTAAAAGATCATGCACTATATTGCTCGTTTTCTTCATCTATACAACAAATTTATAATTTAAATAATTAGTAAAAAATTTGGGTTTTTATTTACTGATAAAAATATTTTGTTTTATCAATTAAAATAATCTGATTAAAATACTATCTTATTATATTGATTATTCTACCTCGATTAAAATTTTGGTAATTTTATTGGTGAGAAGAAAGATGGGATAAATCAGAAATATTATCCAGATGATGGTATTACTAAGAGTCTCATATTCTATGATATCATCAGTTATCAACAGAATCCAGAAAAGAAAGTAACCATTATATATGAGTGTCAGAAAGAGAAAAACGATTCCGAATAGTACTGGTAGTGAATAGAAATTCGACATATCTTTAGAAATTTCACAGAGACGACAATGCACATCTCGCAGTTGCAATAGTTGATGAACGGTCGAATTGTTGACTATCATACGACGCGTTTGATAGAGAGACTGCAGTCGATCAGGTGTATTGATTCTGGTGAGGTTTTGTATCGCTCGATTCACATCAACGAAATCTGTCTGAATGACCATCACCAACAGGAAGTACTGTATCAGTAGCCAACCCACGTAAAATGTCGGCACAATGTCTGTCAGCCATGAGACTAAGGTCGAACCCAAGGCTAGGTTATCATTGAACAGAAGAAGCATCAGCAGGCAAATCTTCAAAATGCAAATGATGATCATAGTGCAGAAAGTACGCTGTCGTCGTAGCGGATGATATAGATCATACAGACGATCTATCTCGTGTTCGATAGTGATTAATCGATTGGCGATCTGCACCAAGGACTTCTGTTTGATGCAGTAGCTAATCAAAATTACGCAGATCGCCAGGGTACCAAGTACAGTTTGAAGAACCGCGATAACTATAGTCAAATTTGTCTTGATCTTGTACTCCCAAGTAAGTCTCAACGGTATAGATATATAGTTCGAAGCTATCATTAAGCTACTCAGCACAACATTGTAAACGATTCCTAATTTGGAATATTGAAATATGTATGACGTTCTCTTTTTGTGTATGACGATTCGGTAGGCGAATGTAGCGAGACCGATAAACTTGAAAAACATTATTAATATTCTGAATGTCCAAAATAAATTGTGATGTAGCTCTGATTTTATTTTGTTCACTTTCTGTTCACTATTTTTTTCCACAATTGAATTTTCTTTAATTATATTTCTAATGGAATTGGAGGTTTTATTGACATTCATGAAAGTTGAATTCTTAATCGAAGACATTTTTGCAATGATTATCTTCTTCCTTAATTTTTTAAATCTAAGTTAATATCTACTTCTTTTCTTCATTAGGTCTTCTCAATTTATTTATTTCTTTCTATTTCACGATTTATAAATATTTTCTTTAGGAAACTTTCAGTTCAATCTTCTTAATATTTTTTTTTTCAAGACATTTGTATATAAAGATTTTTTTAATTTGTATACTTTAAATCTTCTTTACTAAAAACATTTCATACATATATCATTCATAAATCGATAATTTAAGAGACCGTTTTATCTTTGATCTGTCCAATTGCTCTGAATTAAAATTAATTCGTGTATTCTAATTGACGTTGTGCTTTATAATTCTTACGAAGTAACACTGAGCATGTAGCGATCGCAAAAATATCTTTTCGCAAACATCACGCCTGCAAAACATTATTAAATATTAAATTTGTAAAAGTTATAAACGTGTGATAAGGAACATAAAATCAATAATTTAGCTCTGTTTCAGTCGATACAGATCCTGTGATGGAAATAGCCGATTGTTACGGTATTACTGTTAAAATGATATTCACTGAAATATTTATCATCTGTGTATATGACATGATATATATACACAATAATACCTTCTTCGTAATTTCTCCAACTGTAATGCTAATTAATAATAGCGCGAATTTATGACTCAAAATAATAGTTCTGCATAATTGCATTGTAGTATAGTTATCAATATCAATATTATATAATCATCAATGTCAACATTATTACCATCATTTGGAGTTCTTATGAGTTATATAAAAACATTTTAGCATTAAATTAACTTCTGCGCTTTAGCAAACTTCTTTTAAAATGAGAGTATAAATTTTATGCACGGTTCGCAATCACATAAAATATTTCTTTTACGTCAAAAAGAACTTTATATTACTTCAAGTTTATTCATCTAAAGTCATAGCTATATAAACATATAGACTTAAAAATCTTTCAAATATAATTGATAATGCTAATGTAATTTATGTAAGTTTTTAATAATATTAAGTGTCTCTAAGCATTCGTAAAATTTAAATTTTGAATCAGAGGAATATTTTTGCGATAATTTTCAATTTAAAGCTGATTAGTTTTTCTCTATTATATACTTTTTTTTCGTGATTTATGTAGAAAAATTTTTTTCTGAATATTCATATTTTAATTATAGAATATAATAATTTTACAACTATTCTTCTAGATTATCCATTAAAATTACAGTAACAAAGCAAAATATATGCAAGTTCAGATTATACTAATATATATATATATATATATATATATATAGGATGTTTAATAAGTAACAATAAAACTTTTGCATAGGGGTAGAGTGGACTAAACTGAGTTAAAGAGTCTGGTATCATTTTACAATTTTCGTAGTTAACAAGATATTAATTACTAAATATCGCCGAATATTGGTTTTCAAATTTTTTCTCCAATACTATCAACTTTACAAAAAAACATCAAATGACAAAAATTGTTTATTTTATTTTCGAGTTCTTTCTCTCGAGAATTTTTTCAGAATTTTATAGTACCATATTTTCTCATGTTGGTTGAAACAGTTACAAAAAGAAACAGTTGCCAATATGCATATATATAAGAAAATGCATGTATTAAAAAGTTGACAAAGAATTCTTAGATCTCTGTGAGAAAAAAATAAATAATTTTTGTCTCTTGCTGTTTTCTTGCAAAGTTGATAGTACTTGAGTAAAAAATTATTAAAAACCAATATTCGGTGATTTTTAGTAATTGATGTTTGTTATTGCGAAAATTTCAAAATGATAGAGTACTTTTCGACTCAGTTTAATCCTAATACGTCCAAACCCTTGGAAGTTTAAATTTAAGATTCGATTGGAGAGAGAAGGAATGAAAATGATAAGAGTATTAGAAAGGACGCTTAGATTCTCGCAGGTATCCGCATAGAGGTGAGTACCCCCAATCAAACGCATTTTTGTCGCTTCGGAATATGCGTCCACGTCTCACCGAGACGCTATAACACTTGTTTCCAACGAGCAATGCGATACTCGTTTTTATATACAAAAGATTCTTGACCCGCATTTAGATTTGCTAAAATCAATTGTGGACGCATTAGGATTCCTGATTCGTATTTAGATTTGTTAAAACCATTTAAACAGGATTTTCTCTACATGATTTGTAATCTTGTCATAAAAATTTTGAAATGGTTGCATTTGCCTACAGTATCATTTGCCTACATCACTTTTACGTACAATTCGATTACCTACATGTATTATTGCGTACAGCTCGATTGCCTACAAGCACTTTTGCGCACAAATAAAAATTTTAGAAACAGAATTACATCTTTAAAAAACTTTATGAAGTTATATATTTAAAAAGAAGGAAAGGATAAAAAGAATGACTCATTGTGAATACTCTAAGAGTAAATACTATTATATTATAATAAAAAAATAATATTCATAATAAAAACGAACATGGTTTGTAAATCAAAACTTATGAAAAGAAGAGCATAAAAACCAAGATATTGCACAAAATATTGTTTGTGATATTTAATTATCACTACATTAATAAAACATTAAAATATTATAATAAAAATAATATTGTTTGTAATCTGCATTATAAACATATATTTAATTTGTGAGATATGATACAAAAAAAAATTTTATTTTAAGAAATTAAATATATTGTAAAGATTATATCACATAATTTTTTTTCCACAAGGATATTTATTGACATAGAATCTCACGTGTCTCTCATCACCACATGTTATACATAGAAAATTAATTTATGTATACGTATGATCTGTGAATACAATGAAAAAAAGCCGTTGTGATCGCGTGATTTAGACAGCCAATCAGATCAGTTAATATTTCATTTCTGTTTTCTAGAGTTATAGTTACAACTAAACTTTTACGTAGTTAGAAATATAGTAACGATAAAAGTAACTAGTGAAATTGTTACCGTTATCCCAAAAATGTAATTGCGTTATCATGAACGTTACTCACAAGAGAAGTTTCACAACTATCCGGAAACGATTTAATTCTCCATGAAATATATTGTAAAACACGAAAATCTAGAGACACATAATTTTTTTACACATGCGCTAACTCATGTTTAAAACACTCCTTCGAAAAAAAAAACAGTATCTTTCATTCGAAACGAATATTAAGAAGTTTAAAAGATAAACAAAATTTTTTAAACAAAAGTTGTATGGTTTTATACAATCATAAATGTGATGATTCAATAAAATATCAAAACGTTATGACAAATGAAAACAAATAGACAATCGTTAAACTGCAATGAAATCATTCCTCAGTCAATTTAGTTGAAGAACTGGAACATAATTTAAAATTGACATAATTATTTTTAATAAAAACATGATTACACATTTGTAGAATTTGGCTTTTTAATATAGATTTTATTATCTTTAATAATAAACTAATATTTCTTATAAAATATAAAAGCAATAAAGTTAAGATACTCTATTATAATGTATAAGATATTCTATCATAACGTCAAATTTTTTTTATGACAACGATAATGATCCTATAATATTGATAATTTTCGAACAAAAAAAGGAAAGAATAATGTAAAAATCAAATTGTTATCATGTAATTTTTAAAATCCAAAAAAGGACAACTCGCTGAGACATCCAAAAAAGGACAACCGACGAGACGAGACTAACAACAGTGACCGAAGAGGAGGAAGATGACAGTGGGATCTCGATCAAGGTGACACATGCAAATGACATTCTAAATTCGAACTACTATCCCGTTCTCCGAAAAACCGACAATTTATATAGCAAGATATTTCCTTCCCCCCTCTCTCCCTCTCTAAAATATAAAAAATCTTTTTTCAAACAATCTGGGATAGATATATCGATGATTAAGGATTTTATTCGTAAAAATTTGACTACTCAATTCGGTTAATTATCAAACTGAAATCATTTATTGTGATTTATAATTATTTAAATATTTATGGAATTTTTAGGAAACTATAATAATTAGGCAAAATATTCGTGATATATATTTTTATATAGCCATTTTTTTGCTAACAGGTAGTTTCAAAAAATATATTTTAATGCCATGGAATAAAAGAGATTACGTTTTATAGTATATATATTAATTGTATTTAACTTGTAGGAAGGCTCAAGCGAAAAAACCTTAACAATTTAAACCAGGGATGCGAAATAAAGCATTACTTGTAATGCCTTTATTTTTCTTATAATAATAATTTGACAATGATTTTACAATTTTTCATAATGGTAATAATAACGTCAGAGTTGGACAAGTATGAAAAGTAACTCGTTACTAATGAGTTACGTGATGACTTAAAGTAATGCATTACTTTTATGCATGTGAAGTGTGAAGTAGTTAATTTTGAAGTAGTAAGTTAATTTTTTTTCAGAAACGCGTAATGGTTTAACAAGTTATTCTTCAAAAGTGACTTTCTTTAGTGTTATCGTTACTGTCATGGAAAAAAAATTGTAAAATGAATATAAAATTGTTATTATAAAAATAACGATAATGCGAAAATTACAATAAGAGTCGTAGCCGATCTTGGAGTCTTAAGTCGTAGGAAATTGATCAATCAAAAGTTAAATATGAATAGAATAATTGATAAATTTTCTATGACTTCAGATCCCACAACCATCTACGATTCCTACAGTAGAACCGGCTACATTACGTGTTACTTCCCATCCTAATGCCTGTCATTATGTCTTTAATCATGTGTTACTTTAAATAAATAATGTGCAACTAAAACTGAAAGATTTACTGTTTCCCATTACAAAATGCATACATCGCAAAATGTGTGCCTACAGGGTATTCCAAAATAAACACCAAATATTTCATGTATTGATAAACAGGACCAAATTAAGTCAAAAAGTCCGAAATTAAGTCCAAAATTATTTTGCAATTTTCGTATTAGTTAATAACATATTAATTAATTAAAAATCGCCGAATATTGGTTTACAATAATTTTTTACTTAACTAAAATTAATAATATTAATTTTATTGATTTATTCTGTCGCATCTTATTCAATTTAATTGTTAAATAAATTAATTAATAATATTAATTCAGATACAATATATACATTTACATTTTTTGTTTTTTAATTTTACAAATCAGAACTGCAATTGTATGTATAATATTAGGAAGTTAGATAGATAAGAAGTTTCAGAACTGCAATTCTATATATTTATTAATTGGATTTCTCAATTAAACGCAATTAATAATTCCAATTTAAGAAGTGCCAATTTAAGAAGCTCCGATATTACTCATTATATTTTTTCTTATCTTTAATTTATTATTCCGCTTCTTATTTTAAATCTCTCCCTGTAGAGTTACAATACTGTTTATCTGATGAAAAACTTGCCATTTGAAATTGCACAAGTATTATCAAATATGTCACCACTGTGCCAATCAGCTGAAAGAGATAATCAAAATTATTAATTTAAAAAAGTCAGTTTATATTAAATTACTTACATCATATTTTAAATATTCTCACCGAATGAAGAAAAGTGTTATCGAGCGTAAAATATCCGTTAGCTGTAAACTGTATTTTGCGATGTAGTAATTGAAGCGAAAATTTCTTGAGCTATAACATATCTATGATAAATATCATTGATAGATATACGATGAGTACCATTTTTGAGAAAGTTTTATCTAACTTTGTTTTTTACCTCTGCTTTTGTCTCTTTCCCGATTGCACAGTTCAAAAAATCATGCACTATATTGCCTGTTGTTTCAATCTATACAATAAATTTATTATTGAAATATTTTGTAAAATATTTGAGATTTAATATACTGATAAAAATATTTTGTTGCATTAATTAAAACGATCTGATTAAAATATGATCTTATTTTATTGATTATCCTACCTCAATTAAAATCCTGGTAATTCTATTGGTGAGGAGAGAGATGGGATAAATCAGAAATATTATCCAGATGATAGTATTACTAGATAGTATTAGAAGAATCTTATAACCTAAGTCTTCAAACATCAACAGAGGTGAGAGAAGATAGTAACCATTATGTACGAGCATCAAAAAGAAAAAAATTATGGCGAATAGTACTGGTAGTGAATAGAAACTTGACACATCCTCAGATATTTCACAGAGATGACAATGCACATCTCGCAGTTGCAACAGTTGATGAACGGTTGAATTGTTGACTACAATACGACGCGTTTGATAGAGAGACTGCAGTCGAAGATCAGGTGCATTGATCTTGGTGAGACTTTGTATCGCTCGATTTACATCAGCAAAATCTGTCTGAATGACCATCACCAACAGGAAGTACTGTATCAGTAGCCAACCCACGTAAAATGTTGGCAGAACATCTGTCAACCATGAGACTGGGCCCGTATGGAAGGCCAGGTTCTCAGTAAACAGAAGAAGTATCAGTAGACAAATCTTCAAAATGCAAACGATGATTGTAATGTAGAAGATATGCTGTCGTCGTAGCGGATAATACAGACGATCTATCTCTTGCTCGATGATGATTAATCGATTGGCGATCCGCACCAAGAACTTCTGATCAATGCAGTAGCTAATGAAAATCGCGCAGGTCACCAGGGCACCAAGTACAGTTTGCAGAAGCTCGATGCTTACAGTCAATTTCGTCTTCGCATAGTAGTCATCATTAAGTACGTCTGGTATAGACATATAGTTCGAAACTATCATTAAGCTACTTAGCACAACATTGTAAACGATTCCTAATTTGGAATATTGAAATGTGTATGACATTCTCTTTTTGTATATAACGATTCGGTGGGTGAATGTAGCGAGACCGATAAGCTTGAAGAACATTATCAGTATTCTGAACGTCCAAAATAAATCTTGATGTAGCTCTGATTTCACTTTCTGTTCATTATTTTTTTTTGCAAAAGAATTTTCTTTATTTATATTTCCAAAGAAATTGGAGGTTATATTGACATTCATGAAAGTTGGATTCTTAATCGAAGACATTTTGCAATGAATATCATCTTCCATAATTTTTGAATTCTAAGTTAATATCTATTTCTCTTTATTAGATCTTATCAATTTATCCAAATTGCCTTGTGTTTCATGATTTATAAATATATTCTTTAGGAAACTTTCAGTTCAATGCTTCTTAATATTTTTTTTCAAGACATTTATATATAAAGATTTTTTTTAATTTGTGTATTTTAAGTCTTCTTACTAAAACGTTTCACGCATACATCGTTCATAAATTGATAATTTTAGAGACATTCGTTTTATTTTATTGATATCTGTCTTTCCAATTGCTCTAAATCCAAAGTAATTACGACCGTTTGAATCTCGTATATAATTAATTATGAGTTCGATAAATATTCATGTGTATTCTAATTGACGTTGCGCTTTATAATTCGTACGAAGTAGCACTGAGCATGTAGCGATGCTTCCGCAAATACCTTTCTCGCAAGCATCACGTATGCAAAACATTATTAAATATTAAATTTGAAAGTTTTAAACACATGATAATGAATATAATATCAATAATTTAGCTCTCTTCAGTCGATTCTGCGATGGAAACAGCCAATTTTTATGGTATTATTATTAGAATGATAGCAATTGAAATATTTATCATCTGTACATATGATATACACACACGTATACACACATACACGATAATACGTGTTCTTTGTAATTTCTCCAATGCTAGAATCTAGCTGTAATGCTAGATGATCATAGTAGGCTATTATTATTTGTGGTTATCTTCTCGGCTATAACATGATCTGTAAAATCTTGTCACGCTGTATTTCTGGACTGAATACGTATTTCTTAATTCAAAACGTGAAATTTATATCTCAAAGTCAGACAATGACAGATCAATGTGAATCAAATAAATAATATTCTATTATCAATTATGAATTCGGTTAATTATCAAAATGGAATCATTTATCGCGTAAATATTCATATGAAATTTTTAGGAAACTGAATAATTAGGCAAAATATTTTATGATATATAATTTTATACAGCCATTTTTTTGCCAACAGGTAGTTTGAGAAAATATATTTTAATGCTATGAGATATAACGATTACATTTTACAATATATATATTTAACTCGTAGGAAGTCTCAAGAGAAGATCTACGATTTAAATCAGGGATAGGAAATAAAGCGTTACTTGTAATGTCGTTACTGTTACTTTTCTTGTAATAACAATTTGATAATAATTTTACATTTTTTCATGATGGTAATAATAACGTTAGAGTTGAACAAGTTGTATGGAAACTAACTCATTAGTAATGAGTTACGCGACAACTTAAAATTAATACGTTACTTTTATGCATGTAAAATGTGAAGTAATAAGTTAATTTTTTAATCAGAAACGCGTAATGGTAACAAGTTATTCTTCACACATGACTTTCTTTAGCGTTATCGTTACTGTCATGGAAAAGAAGTTGTAAAGTAAATACAAAATTATTGCTATAAAAAATAACGATAATGCGAGATCTACAATAAAAGTAGTCATAGACAATCATTTTAAGTCGTAGAAAATTGATCAATCACAGTCAAATATGAGGAGAATAATCGATTATGATTGGTCAATTTTCTATAACTTCAGATCCCACAACTATCTACGATTCCTGTAATAGAACTGGTTGCATAACGTGTTACTTCCCATTGGTTAAAACAGTATGAAACATATCGCATTGGAAAATATTATTGTACATACTTTTAAATATATTTTTAAAGAATGCGTAACCCTGCGTATATGAGTTACTTAAAATCATATATAAAACATATTATTAAGCAGAGATTACATAATATTACAATTCTGTATGAAGTATTTGGAACCCAGAATATTGTATGTAATGAGATAAATATGATAAAGAAGAAAAGACATACCGCAAGCTTAGGTGCAAAAATAAACGTGCAAATAATTTAAATTTAAAATTTGTGAATATAATATATAGCAGAGAAAATTGGCGGAATTGTGCACAGCGGGTAATTGTGTGTATCCTGATTTGATGCTTTTCCAGTAAATGAAGACATCACCGTGGTGAAATTTTTACGCAAGAGATCGTTCTCGTAAGATATAACTACAAAAGATATAACATAAATATTGCTAGCCAGAGAAATATAAAAAAATGAAATCACATCTTTTGTGTTTATTTTAGCATTCAGAAAATAAGGTGGTAGGTCCGTATTTTTAATTTATTTATTTAAAGTTGCATATTAAAGTACGTTATTATGTGCATCTTTTGAGCTGTTAATTATTAGGTTTGATTAGGAATTGTTGAAGTAATCGTATTTCATGCCGAGTCAAGTCGCGATGGGCAAGAGCGGCGAAGTAAAATTTTTCAGTGTATGGAGTTCCCAAAGATAGATTAAGAGAGAGAGGAGAAAAAGGAGGGATAAATATATTTCCTCATACATATATTTTCTACATAACAAAAGTAGTCACTCTAATTTTATATTTTTTAATAAAATTATTTATGAGCTCCTCCTTATTTAACTTATCGACTATTTCTCGATAAATGTACAATGTCGCAATACGATTTAAACATTTTTGTTTCAATGTCGATCGAAGACAACGTCTTAAATAAGAAAATGATCTTTTATTCGAACAAGTTGTAAGAATTATTGAAAGAACGCGAATAAATTTTACATATGCTAGTGCAAGATTTCTGATCTCGGGATTGTCTTGTAAAAATTATATTACATCCTTCAAGCAAGGCAGTTTTCGTATGTTTATAATTTCTAAAAACATCTCACGATGTAATTTAAGCTTTTGTTCATCAAAACAATTTTCTGATTTTGCGTCAGACTTTGGTGTAAAATTATAAAATCTAGTTATTTCTTGAACTGTAACATTATTTTTGGCTATCGCAAAATTTTCAAATGAATTTAAAAGCATAGTTTCTGAATCGATCATTCATTGACATCATGACATGCATCTAATGTGTAATGGATATGAGTCAAGTAGGTGCTGTTATTTTTATTTTTTATTTCTATTTTCTGGAATATTTTCATGTTTATCATTTATTTTGGGGGAAAAATAATTTGAGTAATGGCATTAGAATATTACTTAAATCAGTTTTTGTTTAGCAACTTCGTATTCGTCTTTAAATATGAAAAAGGCAGCCAGATTTTCCGCGACTAAAACAATGTCATCGACATAAAAAGTACTACTATTTTATTCCGCTTTCTGGAGAAAAGAAACTATTGGTTAAGAAATATTCTAATGCCACTACTCAAATTAGTTTCTCCCGAAAATAAATGATAAAATATAAAAATATTTCAGAAAATAGAAATAAAAAATAAACATAAAAACAACAAAAAATAACAAAAATATAAAAATAACAAAAAACTAAAAAAATAAAAAAATAAAATCAAACAGTCTCAACTCTGTTAAACGCAGAGCAATTGTTTTTAAACTCATGTACATGTACAAAAATATCATTGAGGCCTGACAGCGACTGGGCTAAGCGTGATGGCGCGTCCAGGGTAACGGAACGACATTGCCTCATTTTCCGAGCTCTTATTCCCAAACAAATGCGTGTCCCATTATGTCTTTTTACAGTAACAAAATAGAGACCTGGAATTACATTTTGAACTATATTAAAAGAAAATTGAAACTGGCCTTTTAGTCGCGCCGCCATTTAAAAAATTTAAAAACGATCAGAAATCGGAAAAAAACTGTTTGATCGAAAAACCATATTTTCATATGAAAGAGCGTTCAATTTTCTTTAAGAAAATGTCAATATTTCATTTTCAAATTTGCTTTTCATACCCATTACATCAACGACAAGCGAAAAGAGTACTGCAATGAGAAGAACTAAAAATTGACGGCCCTACCGTTCGGCAATCAGTTAACCTACGGGTCTATTATTCGGCATAAAATCTTTATTCATCAAACTGTTTAAGCTCAAGCAATATAAACGAAATCCATGAAATTTTGTTAAATAGATAGTTGGCTTGGCATGGAATGCACCATATGACTAGAACTAATTTTTTCGTTTCTTCTAATTATTTTATTTTGCCATTTCATTTTGTCAAAGTCTATGTGCATTATTATTATATTAGTTTTGTATTTTTTCTTAATATATATAATGTATATTTAAAATATATTTAAGAAAATTGGTTTACAATAATTTTTTACTTAAGTAAAATTAATAATATTAATTGATTTATTCTGTCGAACCTTATTTAATTGTTAAATAAATTAAATAACAATATTAATTTAAATACAGTATATTTACATTTTTTGTTTTTTAGTTCTACAAATCAGAATTGATTGTATTAGGAAGTTACAATAAGAAGTTTCAGAACTACAATCCTGCATGCACATTAATTGCATTTAATTGGATTTTAGATTCCAATTTAAGAGGCTACTTCTCATTATGTTTTTCCTCATCTTCAATTTATTATTCCGCTTCTTATTCTAAATCTCTCCCTGTATAGTTACATTGTTGTCTGATCGATGAACGCGAACTTCCCATTTGAAATTGCACAAGTATTACCAAATATGTCACCACTGTGCCAATTAGCTGAGAGAGATAATCAAAATTATTAATTTAAAAATTTTAATTTATTGAATTACTTACATGATATTTTCAATATTCTCACCGAATGAAGAAAAGTATTATCGAGCGTAAAATATCCGTTAGCTGTAAATTGTATTTTGCGATGTAGCAACTGAAGCGAAAATTTCTTGAGCTGTAACATATCTATGATAAATGTCGTTACGATGAATACCGTTCCTAAAAAAGTTTTATCTAACTTTGTTTTTTACCTCTGCTTTTGTCTCTTTTCTGACTGCACAATTTAAAAGATCATGCACTATATTGCCCGTTTTCTTCATCTGTAATAAATTTGTAATTGAATTATATAGTAAAATATTTGGAATTTATTTACTGACAAAAATATTTTGTTTCATTGATTAAAACGATCTAATTAAAATGCGATCTTATTATATTGATTATCTTACCTCGATTAAAATTGTGGTAATTCTATTGGTGAGGAAAAAAATGGGATAAATAAGAACTATTATCCAGACGATGTTATTAATAATACTATAAGAATAATTTAAGATATTTTCAGTCATCGATAGAAACGAGAGAAAATAGCCATTATATATGAGTGACAGAAAGATAAAAACGATGCCGAATAGTACTGGTAGTGAATAGAAACTCGACACATCCTCAGAGATTTCACAGAGATGACAATGCACATCTCGCAATTGCAACAGTTGATAAACGGTCGAATTGTTAATTATAATATGATGCGTTTGACAGAGAGACTGCAGTTGAAGATCAGGTGCATTGATTCTGGTTAAGCTTTGTATCGCTCGATTCACATCAGCGAAATCTGTCTGAATAATCATCACCAACAGGAAATACTGTATTAGTAGCCAACCCACGTGAAATGTCGGCAGAACGTCTGTCGACCATGAAATTGCATTTGTCTGACCGACCAGGATCTCAGTGAACAGGACAAATATCAAAAGGCAAATCTTCAAGATGCAAACGATGATTACAGTGCAGAAGATACGCTGTCGTCGTAGTGGATGATATAAATCATACAAACGATCTATCTCGTGCTCGATGATGATTAATCGATTAGCGATTCGCACCAAGGACTTCTGATTGATGCAGTAGCTAATCAAAATCACACAGATCACCAGGGTACCAAGTATAGTTTGTAGAACCGCGATGTTTACAGTCAAATTTGTCTTGATTTTGTAGTTCCAATTAAGTCTGAATGGTATAGACAAATAATTCGAAGCTATCATTAAGCTACTTAGCACAACATTGTAAACGATTCCTAATTTGGAATATTGAAATGTGTATGACGTTTTCTTTTTGTATACGATGATTCGATGGGCGAATGTAGCGAGACCAATAAGCTTGAAGAACATTATCAATACTCTGAACGTCCAAAATAAATCTTGATGTAGCTTTGATTTTATTTTATTCATTTTCTGTTCATTATTTTTTTTCACAAAAGAATTTATTTTATTTGTATTTCCAAAGAAATTGGAGGTTTTATTGACGTTCATGAAAGTTGAATTCTTAATCGAAGACATTTTTGTAATAAATATCTTCTTCCATAATTTTTGAATTCAATGTTAATGTCTATTTCTTCTCTTCATTAGGTCTTGTCAATTTGTCCATGTTGCCTTGTATGTCATGATTTATAAATATTTTTTTTAGGAAACTTTCAGTTCAATTCTTCTTAATATATTTTTTTTCAAGATATTTGTATATAAAGTTTTTTTTAATTTGTATACTTTTTACTAAAAAAAACGTTTCATGTATATATATAATTCATAAATTGAATAATTTAAAAGTTCGTTTTATTTTATTGATATCTGTCTTTCCAATTGTTATAAATCCAAATTAAATACGACTGTTTGAATATCAACGTATATAACTAATTGTGAGTAAATATTCACGTGTATTCTAATTGACGTTGCGCTTTATAATTCTTACGAAGTAGCACTGAGCATGCTTCCGCAAATACCTTTCATGCAAGCATCACGTATGCAAAACATTATTAAATATTAAATTTGAAAGTTTTAAACACATGATAATGAACATAATATCAATAATTTAGCTCTCTTCAGTCGATTCTGCGATGGAAACAGCCGATTTTTATGGTATTATTATTAGAATGATAGCAATTGAAATATTTATCATCTGTACATATAATGTACACACACATATACACACATACACGATAATACGTGTTCTTTGTAATTTCTCCAATGCTAGAATCTAGCTGTAATGCTAGATGATCATAGTAGGCTATTATTATTTGTGGTTATCTTCTCGGCTATAACATGGTCTGTAAAATCTTGGAACTTTGTCACGCTGTATTTCTGGACTGAATACGTATTTCTTAATTCAAAACGTAAAATTTATATCTCAAAGTCAGACAATGACAGATCAATGTGAATCAAATAAATAATATTCTATTATCAATTATGAATTCGGTTAATTAAAAATATCTTTTCGCAAACATCACGCCTGCAAAACATTATTAAATATTAAATTTGTGAAAGTTATAAACGCGTGATAAAGAACATTAAATCAATAATTTAGCTCTTTTTCAGTCGACATGGATACTGCGATAGAAATAGTCGATTTTTACAGTGTTATTATTAGAATGATATCAACTGGAATATTTGACATGATATACACACACATTCTTTGTAATTTCTTTAATTGTAATGCTAATATAGCATTAAATAATTATAGCAGGCTATTATTATTTTTGTTACCTTCCCGACTACAGCAGAATCTGTAAAACCCTGCAACTTTGTCATCTCTGATCTGAATACGTATTTTTTAGCTCAAAATATGTGAAATTTATATTTCCAAATCAGACAAAGACAAATCAATATGAGAATTAAATAAATAATCTTTTATTATCAATTAATTACAATCCTTCAAAAAATTTTATTGGAAAAATTCGCGAAAAATAACTACTTTGGGTAAAAAATTTTCAAATTTTTAAATTTAATGTTCAAGCAAAAACCCATAAGATTTTTTTAGTTGACCCTTTGAACTAACAAAAAAAATAGTGAATCGCTCAAAAAAGTATAATTATTTGAACTATCGAAAATCAGTACATGAAAAATCTACATATTATAAGTTTATAATTAATAAATAAAATTTTATTATTTAAACAATAAAAAATAATAAATAAAGAATTGTACATGTATAAATATTATTGTATAGTATATACTGTATATATTGTATAGTATATAATTAAGTTTATTAGGATTTAATTTAGAGGATATGTAACACTCGCTCTATAGCAATACATTCGGCCAGAATTTTGTAAAAAACATTTAATAAATATGTACGATTATTAGTTACACTTGTGTTAGTGATTGTGCACCTCTGCATTCATACGGATAAGGCTGATACCGAGTTACAGAGACGCAGCGACAGCGCATTATATTTGATTGGTCACTCGACGGCACGAGCACAGTGATAATTCCCCCCGTTGCTAGAATGGAAGAAAGGAAAAACCGATTTCTATTTTGGTACGAGGACACATCAGCTGTACTTTCTCTGTTATATAGATCAACAGAGTAGCGATCATTAAGTAATAATTTATTTTAATCGTGACAGATGTTCCGGTCACAACTTAATCATGACCCTACCCCCGACCTAATCACGACCCTACCACCGATTTAATCATGATCCTATCACAGATTTAATAATAAATCTACCATCGACCCAACCACGACTCTACCCCCGACCCAAACATGACTCTACCACCGACTTAATCATGATCCTATCTACGATTCAACCACGACCCCACTTACGACTCTATCCACGACCTAACCACGACTCTACTCCCGACTTAACCACGACCCAATTCTCGACATAATTATGACCCTACCACTGACCTAACCACAATCCTATCCCCGACCTTACCCGACCTACATTATTGTCTACAGCTCGATTGCCTACATGTATTATAGTCTACAGCTGGATTGCCTACAAGTACTTTTGCGCACAAATATAAAATTAAAGTTAAGTTAAATAAGAAAATATTTTGTATTCGTTAATATTGACAACAAGCAGCTCTGTTCACAAGAATAAATATTCATGGTACTTTCGAGTATCAAAGAATGTGCATCAATACAATTATGGAAGTTGTGTGCCCCTTTGCAAGGTGAGAGATGGAGTGAGAGTCGCTTCGCGTAGAAACAGAGGAAAATATAAAATAGTATTTAATGGCATATAAAATGCATGTAAACAATAGAGCTATAGGCAATAATACATATAGGCAATCGAGTTGTAGGCAATAATACTTGTAGGCAATAATATTTGTAGGCAAAAGTTACTCCGTTTCTAAAATTTTTATTTGTGCACAAATGCTTGTAGGCAATTGACCTGTAGGCAATAATACGTGTAAGCAATCGAACTGCAGGCAAACGATACTGTAGACAATAGATTTGTAAGCAAACGGGATCTCACCATTAACTTTATTGCCGCGGATCAGGTGATTCTGACTATCTATGTATTTGCTTATTTTACCAATATCGCTGGTAAGGTTTCTAACGATACTTTAAGTATTGTCACGTTCACCGATCAATGACCGTTAACATTCGAGTTTTGGTTCGTGCTTTGCCCTAAAGATTATTTTGTCGAACGTTTGCGAAACGAAGAAATCGTGGAGTCCATTGGACGTAAGAGCAGATTTTTGCGGTAAATGTGAAAAAGATGTCAAAATTCTATTTTTTAGTAAAGGAATAGAGCTTAAAAAATATATATTTATAATAAACATTGTGCGTTATTTTCATGAATGAAGTAGATATGTCATATTACATAATATACACTGCATTTTTTGTAATTTTTATACTTAAATAAATTTATTTTTTGTTACTTTTAATATCTTAGAATATCTTTAAATTACACGTTTAACTCTTAATACATATACAATTTTTTTTTACTGTGCATGATGAGTCGTTTGTATGTGGGTTAATTTCTCTAATTTGTGCAAATATACAAAAATTATGAATAAATTCTTATATATAATATTTTAACATCTTTAAAAAATATTTTGTTGAATTGAAGTTGTATATTTTAAAAAGAAGGAAAGGACAGAAAGAATTATTTGGTCAGGTATTTTGAAGAAAAATAACAAGATCCGAATGACTCATCTAAGTGAATACTCTAATGATAAAATTATACTATAATAAAAAAATAATATTGTTTGTAATCTGTATTATATATATATATATATATATTTAATTTGTAATATGACACAGAAAAAATTTTATTTTAAGAAATTAAATACTGTAAAGATTATATCATATAATCTTTTTTCCATAAGGGTATTTATTTTTGTCGGCGAGCGCCATTAAATTAAAAGAAGAAAAAGAAGAGATTTACACCGAAGTTACAAGTAGCATATTTCAGATCAAATCACCAAAAATCAAAACTTGATCTACAGCCAAGTCAGGTCATTTCTCATCAAATATTTACATCAACGGACCTAAATAATTTAGGTCGAATTTGGGATATTGACCGTAAAGTTCAAATTCACGATAAACCAGTGTAAACGTAGCCATTAATACAACGTAGCCATTAATCAACATTACAACTTTCTTCTCACTGATATGTATATCATAAGTTTAATTGATTCAGAGATTAATACATAAGACGATAGTCATAGTTAGTTCTTATTTCAAAACTGTCTTAAAATAATAAATAATAATCCTCTGATTGATTCTTAAAAATGTACTTAAGACGATCTTAAATATGTATAAGAACTGACTCTGAACTACTGACTATAGACTTCTCTTTATCAACTTCACATTTACTAAGAAGAATCCAAAATCGAATCGAAACGTTATATATTTTCGATTTATGTGGCGATATATTGTTAATAATAAAACGATCGATATTACACGCGAATATCTGGTGCCCAAGGAATAAAGCAAATCAAGAAAAAATCAAAATGATGATTTTTGGTTACAAAATTTGACTGTTTATTAATTTTAAGTGTCAAAATAAAGTCATTATGATTTTTTTGTTGATTTATTTGTACATTCCTTGGATGTTGATAATTCTTATATTGGCATTATAATATTAATTCCATCGAGCCTTATTCAATTTAATTATTAAATTAATTAATTAATAATATTAATTTAAATACAATATATATATTTACATTTTTGTTTTCTAGTTTTACAAATCAGAACTGATTGTATATATGTATATTATAAGTTATAATAAAAAGTTTTAGAACTGCTATTCTGTGTATTTAATGGCATTTAATTGGATCTTAGATCTTAAAAAACATCTAAGATATTTTTCATTATATTCATAAGATATTTCTCATTATATTCTCTCTTATTTTTAATATTCCGCTTCTTATTTTAAATCTCTCCCTGTATAGTTACATTGTTGTCTGATCGATGAACGCGAACTTCCCATTTGAAATTGCACAAGTATTACCAAATATGTCACCACTGTGCCAATTAGCTGAGAGAGATAATCAAAATTATTAATTTAAAAATTTTAATTTATTGAATTACTTACATGATATTTTCAATATTCTCACCGAATGAAGAAAAGTATTATCGAGCGTAAAATATCCGTTAGCTGTAAATTGTATTTTGCGATGTAGCAACTGAAGCGAAAATTTCTTGAGCTGTAACATATCTATGATAAATGTCGTTACGATGAATACCGTTCCTAAAAAAGTTTTATCTAACTTTGTTTTTTACCTCTACTTTTGTCTCTTTCCCGATTGTACAGTTTAAAAGATCATGCACTATATTACCCGTTTTCTTCATCTATAATAAATTTGTAATTGAAATATTTCGTAAAATATTTGGGATTTAATGTACTGATAAAAATATTTTGTTTCATTAATTGAAACGATCTGATTAAAATGTGATCTTATTTTATCCTACCTCGATTAAAATCTTGGTAATTCTATTGGTGAGGAGAAAGATGGGATAAATCAGAAATATTATCCAGATGATAGTATTACTAAGAGTCTCATATTCTAAGATATCATCAGTCATCAACAGAGGCGAGAGAAGATAGTAACCATTATATATGAGTGTCAGAAAGAGAAAAACAATTCCGAATAGTACTGGTAGTGAATAGAAACTCGACACATCTTCAGAAATTTCACAGAGACGACAATGCACATCTCGCAATTGCAACAGTTGATGAACGATCGAATTGTTGACTACCATACGACGCGTTTGATAGAGAGACTGCAGTCGAAGATCAGATATATTAATTCTGGTGAGGTTTTGTATCGCTCGATTCACATCAGCGAAATCTGTTTGAATAACCGTCACCAATAGGAAGTACTGTATCAATAGCCAACCCACATGAAATGTCGGCAAAACGTCTGTCAGCCATGAGACTGGGCCCGTATGGAAGGCCAGGTTCTCAGTGAACAGGAGAAGTATCAGCAAACAAATCTTCAAGATGCAAACGATGGTCATAATGCAAAAGATACGTTGTCGTCGTAACGGATAATATAGATTATACAGACGATTTATCTCGTGCTCGATGATGATTAATCGATTAGCGATCCGCACCAAGGACTTCTGATCGATGCAGTAACTAATCAAAATTGCGTAGATCACTAGAGCACCAAATACAGTTTGCAGAACCTCGATGCTTACAGTCAAATTCGTCTTGTTTTCATAGTTCAAATTAAGTCTGAATGGTATAGATATATAGTTTGAGGCTATCATTAAGCTACTCAGCACAACGTTGTAAGCGATTCCTAATTTACAATATTGAAATGAATATGACGTTCTCTTGTTGTATGTGACAATTCGGTGGGTGAATGTAGCGAGACCGATAAACTTGAAGAACATTATCAATATTCTGAATTTCCAAAATAAATCTTGATGTAGCTCTGATTTTATTTTGTTCACTTTCTGTTCACTATTTTTTTCCGCGATAGAATTTTCTTTATTTATATTTCTAAAGAAATTGGAGATTTTATTGACGTTCATGAAAGTTGATGAATTCTTAACCGAATCAAAAACATTTTTGCAATTACTGTCTTCTTCCATAATTTTTTAATACTAAATTAATATCTACTTCTTTTCTTTATTACGTCTTGTCGATTTATCCATATTGTCTTGTGTTTCATGATCTATAAATATTTTCTTTGTTTCAGTTTAATCTTCTTAATATTTATCTTTTCAAGATATTTGTATGTAAAGATTTTTTTAAATTTATATACTTTAAGTCTTCTTTACTAAAACATTTCATGCGTAATATCATATCATTCATAAGAATAATTTAAGAGGCGTCCGTTTTATTTTATGGATATCTGTCTTTCCAATTGTTCTGAATCCAAATTAATTGTGATCGTTTGAACGTCAAACACAACTAATTGCGAGTCCAGTGAATATTCACGTGTATTCTAATTGGCGTTGCGCTTTATAATTTTTACGAAATAGCACTGAGCATGTAGCGATGCTTCCTCAAATACCTTTCTCGCAAGCATCGCGTATGCAAAACATTATTAAATATTAAATTTGTGAAAGTCATAAATGCATAAGGAACATAAAGTCGATAATTTAGCTCTGTATCAGTAGACACGAATCTATGATGAAAATATCTGATTGTTACGTATTATTAGAGTGACATCCATTGGAATATTTATCATCTGTACATATAACATGATATACTCACACGATAATACGTTCTTCGTAATTTCTCCAACTGTATGCTTGTTAGTTATAACGCGAATTTATGACTCAAAATAATAGTTCTGCATAATTGCATTGTAGTATAGTCATCAATGTTAATATTATATGATCACCAATGTCAACATTATTATCATCATTTGGAATTCTTATGGATTATGCAGACATTTTAGCATTAAATTAACTTCTGCCGTTTTAGCAAACTTCTTTTAAAATAATGAGAACATACATTTTGTGCACGGCTCGCAGTTACATAAAATATTTTTTTTATGTCAAAAAGAACTTTATATTACTTCAAAAAAATACTTATTCAATTAAAAAATGACTTATTGAATTAAAATATGAATATATTCATATTTTAATTATAGAATATAATAATTTTACAACTATTCTTCTAGACTATCCTCAAACTATCAAAATTGTAACAAAGCAAAATATATTCAAATTCAAATTAGTGTTTAAGTATCGATAAAACTCTCGCAAGAATAGAGTGAACTAAACTAAATCGAATCAGTGGATGTCACTCTAATAATAATACGTAACAATTAAATATTTAGGATTTGTATCTACTGATACAGAGCTAAATTATCGACTTTATGTTTTTTATGCGTTTATGACTTTCACAAATTTAATATTTAATAATGTTTTGCATATGCGATGCTTGCGAATCTTGTACCATTTTATAATTTTCGCAATAGTTAATAAGATATTAATTACTAAAAATCACTATATATAGAATATTGGTTTGAATAATTTTTTACTCGAATACTAACAACTTTATAAAAAAACAGCAAGTGGCAAAAATAGTTTATTTTTTCCTCGAATTCTTCCTCTCGAGAATTTTTTCAGAATTTTTAATACCACATTTTTTCTCATGTTACTAAAAATAATTGCCAATATACATATATATAAGAAAATGCGGTACTAAAAATTTGACGAAAAATTCTGGAAAAATTCTTAGAGCTCTATGAGAAGAAAATAAATAATTTTTCTCTCGCTGTTTTTCTGTAAAGTTGATAGTACTTAAATAAAAAATGAAAAACCAATATTCGATGATTTTTTTAGAAATTGATCTAAGAAATTGATCTTGTTTATTGTATAAAATTACAAAATGGACGATTTTTCAACTCAGTCCGTTCTACTTCTTTGCGAGAATTTCATCGTTACTTATCAAACATCCTGTATATATTCGTGGATTATCTATTCTAATTATCTATTTAATGCAAGTACATATAAATCATATATTTGCATTAGACTTTCTAGTAATGTTTTTATAAATATAATTTCTCAAAATATATCTCTTGAAAATTATCGAGGTTTATAAAATGATAGCTAGAAATTCGCATTATTGTTCTATATTAATTAATAATTATATAATAATTATATAATAATTAAATATTATTAAATATATGTGTGCTAAGTTGTTCAACAAATATAAATTAAGGTAGAATTATATTCTTATTTTTAATAAAAATAAAATAAAATAAAATCATTTTACATATCGTTTTCTTTTTAAAAAATATGTATAATAAATTTTGATATTACTTTTTAATATTACATAACGATTTTTTTTATCCATTCTTACAAATTGCTAATCAGATATAATACGAGGCGCGTCCATTATAATAATGTTCTCATAAATTAACAAATAACTCAAGTATTTTAAAGGCCTAAAAATTTATCAATATAAGCCTATTTAAAACACATAGCGAGTCATTCAAAAGCTCTTGTATAGCACATGCATTTATTACAACTCAACATTTATTATAATAAGTAGTACGTCAGTTTTCAATAATATAACTATATATATCATTGTTGATTAACTGAACGAATTAATTGCAGTCGTGTGATAATATAAGCAATTATTGCACATAATATACGAACTATAAAAATTAGCAACTGCTTATAAGGTACGACATACATCGAGATGATCATGAGTGATTATCACAGTGTGCAGCATATCCTTCTTTTTCATTAGAATTTTCCATAAGAATAATAATTACATCTAAAACAAATATTGACTTCATAGTTCTTTCTTAAAAGTAAATTTATCGTTCGATTCGATATTTCACTTGTCTCAATAAATTTCAAAAAATTACTGTAATTTATAATAGATATATATATTAGGTGTTGGAATTCGTAGCGTTTTTTAATGAAAGAATGTTATTTATTTCACATGAGCATTAAAAAATACATTAATGAAAGTACTTTCCATCACTTGTAAAACGCTACGAATTAATTCCAACACCTAATATATATATATATATATATATATATATATATATATATATATATATATATATATATATATATATATATATATATATATATATATATATATATATATATATATATATATATATATATATATATATATATATATATATATATATATATACACACACACACACACATATACACACGTATAATATAATATAATTACACGTGTATAATTATATTATGAATCAAGTAATTTTCGTAAAGTTTGTAAAAACATTTATCTTATGTCAAACAACATCGATAACAATAATAAAATATAAATTTAGTCCTATAAAATATTAATCAAATATTTCAAATGTAATTGGAAACAAATATATTTAGAGAATTTTTTTAGAAATAAATGAAAAATGCAATAAAAATAATAAAATATTTCATTATAAAAATCATAAATTTAAATTTTGCAATTTTATGAATAAGATTACCTTTAGAAATTTGCATTTATCAATGAAGGATTATAAAATATAATTATGATGTGTTTATTAAATATACACATTTGAATATAATTTTCCTAAAATTCAATATAATTAAAATATCTGTTTTATATTTTTATGGAAATTAATTTATTTATGTGTGACTAGCAGGAAATAAAATCATAAAATCATAAATTCAAACCTAGGTAGATTGTACTCTTCATTAAAAATAAAATGTTAACATTGATAAAAGGGAACAGCAGAAATGCAGTTTTATTTAATTATGCATGATAAGGAGAAAAAAAGGAGACACAATCACTTCTCTTCTGGAAATGAAATGCGCATTATTTTCTCTCTCTTACTCTCCTTCTTATATTTTTAACTATGTATATATTTTTGTTTTTCAATGTTATCATTAGTTGTCGCACATGAATACGCAGTCTATCTACATAAATCTATGGATAAAATATATTCAACACCATAACTTCTTTGCTACAATAATTTATTTTAATTTTCGACAAGAAAATTTCAATACAAAAATTACATTATTACTAATTTTCTGTTCTTTTTTGTAATATATTGGATATGTACTATTAATTACAAAATAAGATTTAATACTTACCAATCATGAAATGTTTATAGTAATTGCCATTGAAATCATCAATGACCCATGTTGCCCATGTCAAAGATGTGATAATGTCCGAAAATGTCTGTTACTCTAATTTGTACAATTTCACAAGCATTTTATACAACTGTATTATAATCATTGTAATAGTAATGACTTTTTAATGAAGACAATAATAATTCAATTACACAGAATAGAAGATTGATATATAAATTGAATAATATTTTACGAACAATTATATGTTTATTTATATCATAAATATTTTTAAAGAAACATTAGCATGCAGTAATATAATACATATTTTTATCTTTAGAATGTAATGAATATGAGTAATGTTTTCATTTGATAAAGAAAATTAAAGATAAAATTGGAAAACTTACGTTAAATTGAGATGCAAATACTAAAAATTGTATCTATCATTCATTGCGCTGTAATTCTTATGTATTTATTTTGCTACATCAATTATAATAACTAAATAAGTAAGTTTTGCGTGAGAGTAACAATGTTCTGAGTGCTCTTTACAAATTTTTTTCATGGCACTGGCTGAATATACAAAGATTAGTATCTCGATACATGACATCACAATATTACTGTCAAGTAAAAATACTATGTGTCTTATCTAATTTTATCCACTACATCAGCCATTTGTATTCGATAATATCTGACAGTGAAGATTTACCTGATATTGTCCAGTTAGTGATTGCAGATATTGCATCAAGTAATCATGTGGGTATATTGCAATCATATTATGCAAATATGTGATCATAAATTCATGAAATAAAATACAATAGAACTAATTCATAAGATTAATTTTCACGTACGTAAAAATGATATCGATCGCA